ATATGACAGTGTGAAATTTCACGCAGTGACTATATTGACTTAGCTCAGTTGGCTAGAGCGTCCATGCGCATCACCCAGAAGAAACAGTTTCGAATCCAAAAAATAAACAAAAAAAATAACAGTTCGAAGAGCAGGGCTAAAAATATTTATCAATTAAACTCACATTTAAATGACAGTTGTATATCAAAATCATTCAGAAAAACTAAAAACTCCTGTTCTAAAATCATTATGTGTGACGAGCAGTAGGTTTTAGGGTTCCGTAATGAAAGGGTAAAACGGGATCCTAATATCCGTAATACTGTAACGTGTGATTTCATCACTTTGTCTAAATTGTCGTTTTTCTAAAGACTAGGCTGCATGTCATATGAACCTTTGCCTGTTCGAAAGGACGAATGTAAAAGTTAACTTCATTTGGTCGTACTTGTCATTTGAGATTGCCGCCGGTTCGAATTGACATTGGATAAATTAGTTTTTGTGGATCCATTATCTTCGACTGGTAAGTAGTTGCTTGGTTTTGTTCATGCCCGTGGTTGTTTTGTTTACGTATTTCGTTTTCTTATCAATTCGCTTTTTTACAGTGCATGGCTAGAGGTTGAAATCAGAACACGTTCCTGGTCGTATTATTTGTGATTGCTGTCTGGGAAACTCTGTGCTGGATTTGTTATCCCTCGTGGTAAGTTTTGTATCCTTTGTTATTTTCACTGGTTTCCTACTAAAATTGTAAAAGACTTGCATTGTGAATGTATTTAGAAATCTAACATGAAGGTAGGTTGAGAATTTTTTGTCTCGTGTTTCTAAGTATGGTTTTTCGAATATCACAGGTGGATGCTGAAGGCATAGGTGGCTGGCAAGCTGGTCTGAGTTGCTGCTCTATTAAATATTGTTTTTTACCTCCAGTTGGTAAGTTTTTCACATCTTATAACTGTAGGTGGATTCAAATCCCTGCCTTTGTTAGTTCTACAATTTAGTGTTTGTTGGCAGGAGGTCTCCTATATACCTCTACTACACTTGGCCTGACTTTCTCTACTGGTTCTGAGCTCAACGCTGACCTATGCACACAGGGCAGATGTCTCTGTGGTGACATAGATTTTAAATAACTACCTGATTGGACTTTGTTTTTTTTAAATTGAATTGCATAAGTTTTACCATCTTAAATTAATTTAATTATTTAACTTTTTATGGTCGCACAAAGTAATGTGTAGGTCCTATGTACTCACGACTCCCTGAGATACTTAATTGTGATTATTACTACAGTCTGTTCCTAACAGACAAGGCGCCCAACTTATTATTATTAATTACTATTGTATCTGAGCCGCTGAAGGGATAAATGTCTGTCTATCCTTCTGTACAATACTAACACTACTCTGTAACTACTCACTAGGCTGTATATCATGAACTATGATAGTTAGAAAGTTGAAATTTTCACGGATGATGTATTTCTGTTGCCGCTATAACCATTCGTGCTTGAATCTGACTCGCACTTGGCCGGTTTTTTTTTTTATTTTTCAGATTTTTTGCGTTCGAAATTCCATGGGACTCATATGTAAGATTTCGTCAAGTATTGTTGGTACCCCTCCAGGAAAAGAAGCGATATCCTCTTCGTTGTGAATTATAGCAGTTTTCTTTACCCGCGGGTCGGAGTGAAAACGTGCATTTAATAAAAACGCGTTAGGGCGCCTCGGGCCTAGTAGGGTTTGCAGCGGAGTTGCGTTGCAGAAATTATAGCTCTGTGAATAACGTTGACGCAATGTATACTACCATTTGTTGGTTGGATAAATGATCCTTTGTCGCATCTGGTATGGTAATTTACTGTGTTATAGTTTGGCTATGGCGTTCGAATCTAGTGAATTTATACCGTATATTAAAAAGCATTTGTCTCCCGTTTCCGTACGAAATATAAATAATGCTTGAAAAAAAATTGGCTTTTCCTTTTACACCAAAGTGGAGCTGGAGCAGGCATATGACATTAACACTTGAATTTTTCACATATTTTTGTCATGCCTATATTATAAGTTCACATGGTTCAAAATCGTGTGATGTATAGAATTCATTACAAAAGTATGTCTCCCTTTCAAGAGCCGTGATAGCTCAGTGTCGAGTCGCTGTTTATTTACTCAATGTACTCGATCTTGAGTTCAAATCCTGGTGCGGCGGAATTGTTAATTTTAATTGCTGATTTATCATTTAAGATTCACATTATGGAAAAAATCCCGCGGAAACCTGCATGTTTTCGAAACAACATCAAAAAATGTTTTGCAAAAAATTTTCGAACATATGTGAAGTCCGCTAATCCGCAGTGCGGCTGCGTAGCGGACTATACTCTCTGTATAGAGGAATACCCTCTGTATAGAGGTGCTACTTTAATTTTTATATTGATACAAGCTGTGCCCGCGACTTCGTCCACGTGGAATTTCAAGTAAAAAAAAATCTAAAATAAAAGTAGCTTAAGTTACTCCTTATTACATCAGCTATCTACCAGTGAAAGTCCCGCCCTAATCGATCCAGCGATTTCAGAGATTAGCCGGAACAAACAGACAGAGAGACTGACAAAAATTGTAAAAAATGTTATTTTTATATATATACCGTGTACACATCCATATGCATTTAGTAAAAAGCGGTTATTTAATATTACAAACAGACATTCCCATTTTATTTATCTGTATAGAGCATAGATTAACATTTATTGTTTCACGAAAAAAGTCCTGGAAGTAATTGAATATTCCAATCCAAGGGAACTAACGTTTTCTTATGTGAATTGTAATTCTTTGTTATAATTTAATGCAACGCGTAATGAATGTTCTCTTGAAATTGTTACTTGAACAACGTAGCAATTTAAATTATTAAGGCCTCTTTGTTTGCAAAAGGGATACGTCTTAAATCTATTGCACAATATCGTATATAAATTATACGGCTGCCGTAACGCGTGTTCAATGCCGTTACAGTTCCACGGCATTTATTTAAATTGTGCTATTATCTGACTATTGTAGGTAATAAAGGCTTACGTCGGTTGAAGCTCTACCTCACTGAGTGAAATTGTGTTTTATTATACACTTTGAACTACTTTAATCGCAACTTCGTCGCAGTTTTTCTTTTAATTTCTACGCGTTTGACAACGGACAACATGCCTCACTATCAGTACATAGTATAAAACTAAGTCATTCCGCTGTCTGTCTGTCCATATTTATGCTTATATCTTTAAAACTACGCGACGGATAGTGATGCGATTTTCTTTAATAGATAGAGCGATTCAAGAGAAAGGTTTATATGTATAATTCATGCATAATATAGTAGAGAAACAGGGATAATGTTAGAGGTTTGTAATGCGATGTCGAAAAAAGAAGATTTAGCATCGCACCCGTGCGAAGCCGGGCGGGTCGCTAGTGGAAAATAAACCAATATACCAATACTCAATTTTAAGGGAATAGAAGTGTTCAATACTTTTAATAATTGTGCTTTTCCGTTTAAATCATAATTATTAATATAATTACGTAATCTCATCAACTTCCCAATAAGCAAATTGCATACACTGTAATGACCTTTTTCTTTATTTCAGTATCTTAACTGAAATAAAGAAAAAGGATTAAAGTCATTACAGTGTATGCAATAAATTAATAATCCAAAGAAACGTAACTATATGATCATATCTTATTTTGACGTAATAACAACGGTAATAATGTTTATTTCCTTTTTGTTGAAAAATTTTATTCTTGTATGCCAATATATAGTAATGTTACAAATTACTACATTAGAACAATAGCATCCGTCGCCGAGCTAGGTTGTGAGAACCTGTATTTCGACTTTCGGCGCCATTCTCCGCTTCAATGAAATGGAAAATTTACCTGAATACTACATATTACTAGACGAAATTATTTTTACCGATTTACCGATCTTGTTTGAAATTTTAGCTTATTTTTATTGTGAAAAGTTGCCAAACGAGCAGACAGTTCACCTGATGTTAAGTGAATATATAGAATAGTTTCGTCGAAACACGAAAAAATTATACTTCCAATTTACGCCTGCCTTCTGTGAGGTCGTGGTGCTTACCTGGACGAGCCTGCCCGTTCGCGCAACAGCCGGCTGGTGCGGGGCCCTACCACCGTGAAACGTTCCCGACATTTCGAACTCTGCGACGTTCTTCGTCACAGGACAAAATCTGAAGTTGCACTGGTTTAGGGATATGAACCAGCTTCGTGTTTTATCAATTCGTTGGCGGTAGGCCAATTGTGACAGGCGGAAAAACTAGCATTCGTTTCGTTTTGTGAGTGAGGTAAATGGAAGCCTCGGGTCCAGAAGGTTCTATACGTTACAGCTCCTGTTAAATGATCAATAGTAGGGATTATAACTAAGTATCGGGTGAATTGCTCGCTTCTTTCCATCTCTTTTGAAAAAAAACACCGGTCGAGTGCGAGTCGAACTCGTACCCCAAGGGTTCCGTATCTACCCGTACCTAACCATACCCCCATAATAAAATTGGAAAATAAGCACCACCCATTTTTTCAGAAACGGGTGAACATAACAATTTGAAATTTATACCAGATACTTTCAACCCAAAACTTATAGGGTGCTTCCGGTTGACCGAGAATTGTCAATTTTGCTTAAAATCAAGGTCTTACAGCACAATTATTACGAAAAATAAAAGAAATAAGGTAAATTTTAGTACCTTTTTTTTTCGTGGGGATATCCGTTATGGATACCTGGCCTCCCACATACCGGGAAGCAATAATGTCGGACTCGAACCGACTAAAACCCCATGGTGGTCGCCATCAGCTGTCATGTGGGGTCACGGGATCTCCGTTTGAAACACTACCGCGGCCCCCCTTAGCTTGGCTTGAATAGCCTCGTCACAGCAACATCACTTCACTACACCCACCCCTGTGGTGCAACCACGATAACTTGAACCTACTTCAAGCCACCATCGCCCTTAGGTTCTTTTACTGAGCTACAGAGCCCAGTCGCCCGCGACCCTTGAGGTCCCGTTTCCGGTAAGGAAACACCTTTTATATATATTGAGGACCGTAACGAGGTGTACCCTCGCCTCGGTGACCCCGTCTCCGAAGGGGATCTGCCCTCTCTCGATCCGTCTCAGCAGCCTCTTTCTTGACCATCACGGTCTCTCTCAGCATCGCCGACATGACTGCTGACAAAGAGAGGTTTCGTCCAATATGGGTTACCAGGACATTCCGCTTCGTCTCCCAAGCAGGGCACACCACAAGAGTATGCGTCGCGGAGTCCTCGTAACTTCCATCGCATCCGTGCCCAGTGATTAGCTGTGTAAGTCTGTAGGTGAGTCTACCTTGCCGACGCTGCATCCAGGCTTCGAAGACCGGAAGAATGGCTTCAATAACGCGTTTATGAGCGTATTGTTCCTGACTGAGCCGAGCGCGCCAGACCAGGGAAGCGGAGTGCCGTTCCTGCCGCTTGATGGTCTCGAGCGTCTCTATGGTATTCTATCAGGATATTGATTTTATACACCTAACAGGGACTAAAGAATTCAGTATCTCGTATAAATTTCCACTTGCTAGATCCACCCGTTCCTGTGAAATTCGGTGGTGACACACGGACAGACAGAAGGAAGAGGATGTGATCTTTTAAGGTAAGGAGCTAAAAAAAATAAGTTTGGACTTTTTACTGACATTGGTTCCTAATACAAACAGGTCTTCGAATTGATTATTTCCAACAGCCCTATTAATGCCCAGTAAGCAATCTCGGCATTTCTATTACGCCATACATATTTAGCGACAAGTTAAATTTAATTTTCACCGAAGTTAAATAAATTTATTTCCGAAAACAAATTTGAACAGTGTTGGCAAACCCTTTCAACTTAATTTCGCCCATTTTATGATCCTGTTCGGGTTGAAGGGATATCGTTTATGGGCTTTTAATGAGACCCAGTTTACGTCTTGTGCCGTTTGACCTTTTAATATCTTAATTTGTATACGAAATAAGAATTAGACGCCCCCGGGAACGCTAGCGGTATCACACGTGACATATAGTTACAGACATTTTTTTTATATACAAACATAGCCCTTACTTTGGGATAACATTACGCTGTGTTATAAGGACATTTTACAAAGATAAGTTTCACCTGGACAAACACCCAGATGCGAAACAACTATCTGTGGGTCACACAAATAATTGTCCCGTGTGGGGATCGAACCCACGACCCTGCCAGCCAATGCCTTGGCAACTGCGCCACGAAGTCATCACTGCATTTTGTATGTTTATATATTATGTACTTCACACGTGACTTATAGGTACATACATTTTGTATGTTATGTACACCTACGATATGTTTGAACTGAATCCGGATTAATTCGTTTCCACCTAGCTTTTCATGCAGTTAATATTTACGGGACAATAATTCTGTATTTGTTCAGCGTGAAAACCATCTTTAAATTTTCCTCCGTTCCTTTATTGTCACTTATTTGTTCTTTTTTACTGCTTCGTTAGATATGACGATATACCACGCAGCAGATTCTACCTGTTGCAAGGATGGTCAGGTTTAGAGAGGACGGCTTTAAGTGAAAATATTAGACTTTCACGTTTTGTCCGGTGGGTGAGGTAACCGGGGCTCGATTTTTAATGGTCCGCAAAGCATCTGTAACCTCAGAATCAGATGCAATAGATGTCCGTGAGTGGCGGTAATCACTTAGCCTCAGAGGGCCATGCTTGACTCGACACATAAAAAAATGTGTGCGTGTACTAGTACTCGTAAGAAGTGAAACTTTTTTATGACGTTATTTTTCAAAAAATAATTTTATTGCAACTTTACAGAAATTGGTTAAATAAAGTTAAATTAGATAAAGTTTAATAAAAGGCTTTTATTATCATAGACATAAATACAAATTCTACAATTATTTCATTTTAGCTTTGTATAATATTTAGTTTCTTATTTGTAATACATAGGTGGCGTTATTAGTTAATTAAAACACACTATGGTTTGACCGTTGTAATTAGTATGAGGGTCCGCAAAAATTGTTGATTAAAAAACTTGCATTAACCTCACGGACCCAAAATACAACCGCTTTGAATTTGTACATGGTCCTTCGTTGCCGAATAGTCAGCCAGTGAGTAGAAGGCAGACATTCGACTCGCGCGCGAGTGTTGTGAGTGAAGTTTTTTTGGAAAACCGAACTTGCGGACGTTGGATCGACGTCGCAACCGCAAGTTCCAGGAGCCGATCGAGGCTTCGAAGAGCATCATCGGTCAGCTTCAGATACGAAGACACACTTCGGTGGAAGGCGCAGTCAGGTCACGGTGGGCGGTGCCTGCCTTTGGAGAAGAGGAAGTCTCTACAGTGTCGTGCTCTGAAGTATTAGAGCTAGCACTGTCATTACTACAAATATTATTATTGAATTTCATTAATTGTAATAGAATTATTACTATCATTAATGTCGTTATTATATATTTGTGTTATTAATGGCTTATGGTAACTAAAATACGAAATATATTGTTTACATTTTAGAATTAGAATTAAAATAAGGCTTCATCGAACGCAGAAATCGTGACGTAGCCAGATCACACGTTCTTGATGCATCAGACTGCGTTGGTTATATGCGTGCATTATCTAGTTGGAAAGTATGTCACCTACGGCCATCAATATGAGGTATGGACAATGAACACAATGGCCGTAGACTTTAAAAATCGGTGAATGACTGCGATTAGAACCACCCCAAAATGCGTATAGGGTAGGTCCGTACATGAATGAAGGCATTCGTTTTCAGGGAGAGTCAGTCACCAAGGCACCATCAATATTCGGCATGGACCGTGACCCCGATGGCTTTTCTTTTTTTTAAGGTGGTAAGCGAGCTTGTGGTTCACCTGATGTTAAACGATATCCGCCGCCCATGGACCTTGCACTTCTAGGGTTATGCCATGCATGGCCACCTTTTAATAAAGTGGGCCCCGGCTACCTCACGTACGAAGAAGTATACACCACTTACACTCCAAGTTGCTTTCAATGGCAATGGTTTTCAACGCCTGCTTCAACTAATTTAAAGTGCAAAGTGTAAATCGATAAAAACCAAACACGATGTAATACTTATTAATGTAGTTATCTACAACACAGCATGCTCTCTGCTTAGCACAAGTAATTGAGACTTTGTCATAACGTCTGCTAGGCAATATTTATAATCGAAATAAGTTGCAAACACTTATCGTGCAACTCATTTCAGTTCTCAACTGTTCCCATTCTGAACTTTTGGTAAATCAGCGTCGTTAATAGCAACTTCCGTTAATTCGACCGTAGTGGGGAGTGGACAAAAGTTACCAGTTATTTCACGCCCGATTGTACGCGGCCAAAAGATTGCGCAGATCCACCGGACTGCGTTAATTGTCATACCACCGGCCACCCAGCTAGCTACAGGGGCTGCGCTAAGGCCCCAAAAACTCCCGCGAGAAAAGCTCCCGCGAAATCTACTTTGCCCAAACCCGCGCCCGTGAAATACGTTCCCGCGCCCGTACCCGTCGTAAACGCCTGGGCGAAACCCCAGGTGGCCGCGCAGGTAGTTGCGCTCCCAGTCGCCTCACGTCCAATCGCTCAATCGCAGCCCGCCTATCAAACGGCGCCGACGCCGCAGGTGCAGTCGACACCGTCGGTTTTCGCCGAAAACAAGGACGACCCGTTCGCCCAAATTGCCAACATCTGCGCCTTATTAGACCGCATTAATAGACAAGAACTCGCCGTATTGTCCGCTAAAATAGCGGCCGCCACATCTGGCAACGAGCGCCTTAGGGCAATTTGCCAACACAAGACGCTTGTGGAAGCCCTTTGGGCTTTTACGAGCCAACTATAAAAGACAATAGTCCGCGCAATAAAACCGCGCTCCGCCGCGTCGTTAATTAGACCCATAAAAACACCTAAATGGGAAGTACAACCGCAGGTAGAACAAAACCGGCTATGGTTGTTTCGTATTTCAACGCAAACGGCATAAAGGGTCAAAGGGACGAAATCGCGGAATTCCTTCGCGATTATAACGTAGATATTTTTCTAGTGCAAGAGACCTTCTTAAAACCTAGTGTTCGCGATCCCAGAATCGCAAACTACAACATAGTCCGCCACGACCGGTTAGCGAACCGTCTGGGAGGCACCTTAATTTATTACAAACGGCCCTTGCACTGTAGCCCGCTCGACATTCCAGAGCTAAGCCATATAGAGGCATCCGCGTGTAGGTTAGCGCTCACTGGCCATAGGCCGCTTGTACTAGTCTCAGCCTACCTCTCGGGGAACAAAACCTTATTACAAAGCGACCTAGATACGCTACTCAACTTAGGCAATTGCAGGAGATCTAAACTGCAAACACGGCTCATGGGACATCCACAGCATCCCAAATAACAACGGAAAGCATCTTTTTAGCTTATCCGATAATTTAAACTTTAGCATAATTGCTCCTGCGACTCTCACTAGGTATCCTACGGTGGACAACTACCAACACGCGACACCGAGTATCCTAGATATCATGTTACTCAAGGAGGTCTCGCTCGACATCGAGTCGATAGAGACAATCCATGAACTAGATTCAGATCACAGGCCCGTCCTGTGTAAACTGGGCCAGAACGCCGGCGCGGTCCCTCCGACCAAATCCGTAGTGGACTGGCATCGTCTTGAGGTCAAACTCAAGGCCTTGGACCCCCAGAACTTAGTAGACTTACCCGAGACGATAGCTACGTTCGATGACGCAAATCGAGCGATAGCGAGTCTCCGTGAAACTATTACTTCCGCAGTCACAGACTCGGAACGGACGGTGAAACTGTCGGGCGACCGACGGTTTAACTTTCCGCCCGACCTACGACTGCTAATTAGACAAAAAAATGCAGCTAAACGCGCCTTCGACCGATACCGATCGGAATCGAACGTGTCTCGGAACATCGACATACAACGTGGGACGCTCTCCTAGAGGACATCGAGCCATCGCACACCGCCTACTGGCTGTTGGCCCGCAGTCTGAAAGCAGACCCCCGCGAATCTCTACCGCCGTTAGTTAGACCTAATAGCGCTTCAGTAGCCCTAGATGACTCCGAAAAAGCCGAATGCCTTGCGGACAACCTAGAGCAGCAATATACGCCATCATGCGAACACATCGATACAGTCCACCTAACGGAGGTGGACCGCGTAATCGAAATTAGGGCTGCGCTTCCACCGGAAGGCGATCCTTTGAATTCAGTGACCCCCCAAGAGGTTCAAGATATTATTAAAAACTTAAAACCCAAATCCGCCCCGGGCCCAGATAATATTAGTAACAAAATTTTTAAAGCTCTCCCTGGGCCGCTTATCTGTTTACTGGCGACCATTTACAATACTTTACTCTCCAGTTGCTCCTTTCCGGACGACTGGAAAGAAGCCAGGGTTATCGGCATTCGCAAACCGAATAAACCAGCCAATCAGCCCTCTGGTTATCGTCCTATCAGCCTCCTCAGTTGCCTGGGGAAGCTCTACGAGCGGCTTTTACTAAACAGGCTCAATGAGCACGTGTTTTCCAACGGCCTTCTGCCGGCGGAACAATTCGGCTTTCGAGCTAGACATTCCTGTCGCGATCAACTATTCCGCCTAACGGAACATATCCTAAAAGGCCTAAATCACCCTAAACATATTAGTACAGGGGCTCTTTTCTTCGATGTCGCAAAAGCATTCGACAAGGTCTGGCACAACGGCTTGCTTTACAAGCTGTACACACTCAAAGTGCCATATAGGCTCGTACACACCATCCGTGCCTTCCTGTCGAACCGCTCTTTTCGATATCGAGTTGAAAGCACCCTCTCCACAAGCCGCCGCCTCACGGCCGGCGTAACACAAGGCTCCTGCCTCTCACCTTTGCTCTTTATGCTCTACACGAGCGATATACCTAAAGACCGCCACGTCAATTTCGCGGATGACACGGCGCTCTTTTATTCAGACCGCAACCTTAGACAACTAACCACTCGACTCCAAAACGCCGCCGACCGCCTCGGAGACTGGTTCCGCAAATGGAGAATAGAAATAAATCCCGAAAAGAGTGTGGCAATTCACTTCACACGAAGTACTTACCCGTCACATCTTTATAATCGACTCGCGTATGTCATTTACTACGCACATTAATAACGTTCGCAATAGAGCCGCGTTCGTCTAACTAACTAACTAACTAACGCTAAAAGTAAAATGCCCTTAAGGCACAAATTATTATTATATAAGACCTGCGTACGACCTATTATGTCTTACGCATGCATGACCTTCGCCCACACGCACCCTACTCGCTTGTACAAGCTGCAAATAGTACAAAATAAGTTCATCCGCCGCGCAACCGGTGCGCAGTGGTACCAACGCAACGTCGACCTGCACAGCGATTGCAGACTCCCGACGATTCGCGAATATTTTAAAGACCTGACCAAACGGTTCTTCGATAAAGCCGAACATCACCCCAATCCTCTGGTGGTAAGCGCAGCAAATTACTAACCCGACACAAACGCAAACGTCAACAAACGTCGCCCGCGAATGTCCTAATCGACCCGGTCGAGGAAGGGGGCTTAGACACGCCGGACCCACCGCCGGGGGTCCCGCCGGACAACACTACACCCACAGTTAGTGCAACAACAAACACACTAATTCGCCCTCGCCTCCGAGCACGGCGAGACCAACACAACGCGTACACAAGGTACACCCGCGTTCCGGGGCGGTTCTCACCGCCCCCAGCCACCGATTAGCTAATTGCACAGTCGACGGCCATCGGGGTTTCGGTCCGAACCACGACCTCGATGGCCCTTAGATGACACACCATAGTTAAACGCACGCATGAGCACATGCGTAGCCCTACCCACAGCGGAGGGCCCAAACCCGTGGGTTCTGGCTAGCCCACCGGTTCTGCGTCAGATGAAGCTTTAATAGTCTCGGGACTGAAAGCAAAAACATCAGTTAATACAAGATACAAGATATATACATGGAAATCAGATCGAAATCGTGTAATACATGAAATACATAGTATATAATAGAATCGCGCAACCACCGAGGCTTGGCAAGGCGTACTTATACCAGAATACGGTTCCTTATTTATCTCTCCCCATAAATTATGCGACCTTTAGCGGCAGCTGAAGTGGTCTTCATTCGGAACGACTTTATAACCGCTGATCGTGCATTGTTCTAACTCGTGAAATTTGGGCTCTGGCCAAGCGAACTCATCCGTCCGAGATATTTTCATCTCAATACTTATTTGTGTTTGATTCGCCGACGAAAGAGTTTATTGAATACCCAAGTGGCTTATATTAAGATAAACAACCCGAGGATACAAGAAACATTTGATTGCGCAATGTTTTTTTGTCGAAGTTATTGCTATTGGAGGCAAATACTTGGTCAAAACATAAGTTGTTTCAGGATCTATAGATGGTCTGTATATGTATATGTTTATGTTTTAACCTGAATATCCAAACACACAAAAAACACTAAAGTAAACCGTTAATATCCTATACTTGCATGGTTGTTTGTTAGAGACAAATCTCACCATTACTAAAAGAAAACTTTACTATAAACTTTGTTAGGGCCACGTAACAGCTTCTGCTGTTGCAAAAATAGACAGGCTCGTCCGGGACACACCGGCCTCACAGAATACCGTCGTGAAGTGAAATTATTTTACTTTCGCGTTTCGTCTATTGAGTGAGGTAACTGGAGCCAACGTTTTAGAAAAATTTAGCCTAAGCCTAAGGCTGGCAACGAATCTGCAACCTCTAAGGTGTATAAGATGTTTATGGGCGGCGGTAATCCCTTAAAATCAGGTGAATCGTTTGTTCGCTTGAAAA